TATATATATATATATATATATATATATATTACATAGTTTGAGAATCGAAAATGGGGGGAAGAAGACGATGGCTAGAATATGGGGTGGGGTTGCTTTCTTTTGTTTATCGAGAAATTTATTTTAAATATGTTTTAGTTATTTTAGTGCAAATTGTCAATAAAAGAACAAAGGGTACAAGTTTTTTAAAAATTAATAAAAACAAAATATTATTTGGGATCTATGCGCCTAAGACCAAGTGAGGTACACTTATGTTGTTACATCAACATTTTGTGTTTAATGGACACATATTTTGAATAATTTAGATTTTCAATTGGTACAAGTTTTAATTAAGATGTCTAAGAGACTTATGCGGATAACTTTAAAGGGTTGTCGATATAACGCGATATATAGATAAATGAAAATATAACATGTGTTTAATATTTCCTAATTTCATCTTTTTGCTAAATTGTTTCTCTCTTTCTTTTACATTCTTTAACGAGAGGAAGATGTTAATTGAAGAAGTGTTGTGGTGAGGTGATTAGACTAGATATGACATATTTTATCTTATTAAAGATATGATTTAGTAAAGATATTAATACAGTTGATTATGGTAGAATGATAGTAGATAGTCGAGCATTGTCTTCTTGGATTCCAATAGCATTAATGCTAATCTTGTAGTGTCTTACCCATCAATTATGTTGTTCTTTACTTCGACTTTCACATTATTTTGAAGTTGTTATTGTTCCTTAATGTTATGTAATGATTTTGTTATTTATGCTAATTTTTAAATTGCTTTCTTATGAGTTACCTAAGTATAAGGATCATTCTGAAATAGTGTATCTACCTTCATGAATACAAAACTTGTAATCTTGTATAAGTTAAGATCCTCTGACCTCGTATAGTGAAATTACATTAGTAAACATATTATTATTATTATTATTTAATGTATTTTTCATAAACTGTTTAACCAATCTTGTTGTTTGATATTTGCCGTGACCATAGCTTTGTGGAACTCATCTTATTGTACACTCAAATTTAGTACGTAAATGATTTTTTCTAACTGAAAAATCAATGTAAAATTATTTATTTTTGTGATATTTTTCAAGATCTTATTTTTGTGGATACCGTGTTCTCTGACAATGCATGCATGAGACGTCTATTTCAAAAGAAAAATAAAACACGTGTTAGTCAAATAATTATTTTACCTTTTTATATAAAAAAAAAACAAAATCGTTGTTGTAAATACACTATATTGTGGATATTTTATTGAAGTATCGTATGGCTTCTCAAAAAATGTTATATTTAAGCAGACATTTTTTTTAGAAAGTATTGTAGTAATAATTTTTTGAGGCCGGTAATTCGGTAGACAACTTACAAGTAGGTCAATTACATATCTTATATGCATAGATAAATTTAAACTCTCAACAGGATAAAGACGATGAGTTCACCATTACTTTTTAAGATAAGAATGACTAAATGAGATATTGATTTGGCCTTTATAATGGTGATTTAACAATTTAGGTTTTAAAGCAATATTTAAAAGGCAAAACTTTACATTTTTTCTAATTTCTTTTTATGAATACAACTGTCAAAGTCATTATCAAATGATTCATTTTCATCTATTACATTTTTATTATAAATTTTGGATTATTTTTCTGAATAACTCATTAACTCCTATAATAATTCAAAAGAAAATAACTTTAGTATCTTTTATTCATAATTTTATAATATGAAAACAAAAAATAATAAAAATATTTGGAACTTTCTATTTTGAAAGGCTTAAAACAACTGCTTTAATAGCTTCGTTACAATTACAAAGAAAAGTTTGGTTATTAGACTCAGTTGAAGTAACAAAAAACGAAGAAAAAAAGAGTTGGTGAAAACAAAGGAAGAAATAAATTTAGCACAAATTATTTAGGTGAAAGAAACAGTAATGGGTCATACGTTTATTATTGAGTCATATTCTGAAGTAGACGCCTTATACATTGACAAAAAGAAGGGGTCCTACAAATTCATGGTCTTTTGGAAGGTTCACGATTCGGATAACAATCAATTCAAATTAAAAAAATCAAATCAAAGTATTTATTTATTTTGGTTTGAGTTTGATTTTTGATTTTAAAAATAAATAGTATTTAGTTTTATTAAAAAAAATCGAAGAAATAATCGTCCAATAATTATATACATATATTTTATTATTATGCATGCATGATATGTTATTTTTATAAATAATTTTAAATATCTTATATATGTTTTGTGATTATAATTTATTTTCTGTCACTTTAAAATTTGTTGCAAACAACAACTGCTTTAATAGCTTTGTTACAATTACAAAGAAAAGTTTGGTTATTAGACTCCTTTGAAGTAACAAAAAACGAAGAAAAAAAGAGTGGGTGAAAAGAAAGGAATAAATAAATTGAGCACAAATTATTTAGGTGACAGAAACATTAATGGGTCATACGTTTATTATTGAGTCATATTCTGAAGTAGACGCCTTATGCATTGACAAAAAGATGGGGTCCTACATATTCATGATCTTTAGGAAGGTTCATGATTCGGATAAAAATCAATTCAAATTGAAAAATCAAATCAAATTATTTATTTTTTGGTTTGAGTTTGATTTTAGATTTTAAAAATAAATAGTATTTAGTTTTGTTAAAAAAAAATCGAAGAAATAATCGTCCAATAATTATATAATATACTTTATTATTATACATGCATGATATGTTATTTTTATAAACAATTTTAAATATCTTATATATGCTTTCATCAAAATTTATTATAATTTATTTATGAAAGAAAAAAATATCAAATATGAGAACATTTATCTTACTGGTTTCATGTATATGAATGTCTATGATAATTTTGGTGGGACTAGGAATGTCATTGTTTCTTCCTTCTAGGCCAAAATGGTGAATTTAGAAGTTTTATTCACTAGTAAATTTTGTGATTGAAATTTCGGTATTGTTAATCATTCTAACTATTTTTTATGTTTTGAATGAACTATTATTTTTTTCCATCTTTTGAATGAATTTATTTAATTTCTTTTGTGTATGGTTAAAAACTAATAACCGAATCATACCGAATCGAAACCGATAAATATAAAGCATGTTTGGTTCAATTTTGTTTTGATAATTAAAACATCAGTTAAATTGATTTTGATCAATAACCGATTAAATAAAAGCGGGCACCAAAAAATTTAAAGGGTAAATAACTTTTAAAAATAATTGTACGTAGTAAAATAGGTATATTTCCTAATATTTTCAACTATTATCATTGTTTTCATATTCGTAGGGCCATATGTTCCCAAATGTTTCTTTCACCTTGGTAAATTTGGTTCTATTTTTTTTATAAAATAAATATTCAAATTTTGATCATGTAAATAATTTAATAACAACTTTAAGGAGAGATAGAGGTCAATTGTTGAAGTATTGAGGTGAAATTTATTTTTCCCTTTCATTTACACTCAAATTTAGTACGTAAAGGATTTTTGTTTTCATATTAACATTAGTGTATCTTTTCTAATATTTTAAAAGTATTTATTCAGGTGATATTTGTCAGGATCATATTTTTGTGAATATGGTGTTCTTTGACGGTGTACGAGACGTCAATTTCAAAGCTAAATAAAACACGTGTTGTCAAATAATTAATTTACATTTTCTCTAATTTCTTTTTTATTGTAAATATAATCATCAAAGTCATTATCAAATCATACGGATTTACAACATCCTTTCCGTATTAACTCTAACAAATTTTACTATAATAACGAAATCATAAAACCATAATAATTCTCTAATCGTAAATTTCATCTTCTTCGCATTATCTTTTTAATATTAATGATCTTAGATTTACGATTAATCATTTTTTTGTCATGTATCTTATTGTTGTTATCATTGTATCTTAGAAACATATATAATGTATATCTTCTTTATAGTAATGAAATTAGATGTAAGAGTAACGACATTTTTATCATGTATCTTAGTTTTATAGCATGTAGCTCAGACAAATAATGTATATCCGTATTTGCACTTGATGTGTATATGGGTGTAATGATGTATATGTTCTGTTAAGTAAAGCAAGACGTAATTCTTTCATTTTGATTAGGGCGTTCCTATACTTAGATCTATTATCGACTTGAATGTTGGCGGATGAAGAGTACTCAGACCCTGCAATAACAAGTTCATGATTGAAAACAAACAAATAAAAGGTGTTTGATTTGGTATATTATTGTTACCTTTAACAAGAATCGTCCGTTTTTGTGAGTGGTCAGCCATTTAAAGTAGTTTGAAAAACAACAAAAATCAAACAATGTAAAATCTAATTTGTAATTTTGTTAAAATTGAACTTTACACCTTTAACAAAAATCATCCGATTTTGTGAATGGTCAGCCATACATAAAAGTAAGGAATTTATGTATCTGATTATACTTTTTAAAATATATTTTATAAATACTAAAAATAATAATATGTGTAATTATTTTAAACTAAAGGTAAAGTAAATAATGTAGGGAAGATCAAGAAGCTGGAAATAGAGAGAGAAGTCTATAAAATGGAAAATATATACTCAAAATTAAAATTAGAACAAACTAGTGTTCCATTTATTATTAAATAATAAAAACATACTTAAGTAGCACACTAGCCGTGGTAAAGGTCCACAACCATGTTACATATTACATAGCACATATTACTCATCAATGTGCTTTAATTTAATACATAGATTAAGAAATAGCAACATTGCTTTTCTGGAGATCATTTTCTCCTTCACTTAGCCATTCATATTCTCCATCACAAATATAAGTTCCATTGTTATTGAAATATTTACATCCTTTTTTACCTGCAGAACAGGTGGTGCATAGTCCATTAACAGTTTTAGTTAGGTCTGTTACGCAAATTCCAAACTCAATTCGACGGTCACATTCTTTTGAGCAAGCCTTCCTGCTTTCCCAATCTTTAGATTCTCCATCACAAATTAAAGTGTAATCTTTACTAAAATATTTACATTCTTTGAAACCCGAACAACAGTTGATGCATATTCCATCAACTTTTTTGGTTCCTAAATATGGGCAAATTCCAAAGTCAATTCGAGGGTCACATTTTTTGGCGTTTGCATGTTCGAAATCGCTTGCAAGAAGAATCATTCCTGTTTGTTTGTACAACATATATAACCAAGTTAATTATCTAGCAACAATTAATTCGATAAAATAGCAGTCAAAAAAAATATATCTTAAAATGTTAGCTGGATTGTAAAAGTGATTAAGTGAAAAGAAAGAAGAAGAATAAGAAAAATCTTACCAAATACAAGGAGGAGAGCAACTTTGTGAATAGCCATATTCTCAATATCTCAACTCTTGCTTTGATTTGATTTACTTTTTTTTGAGTAAGGAAGGTGTATCCTCTCCACCTACTTATAGCAGATGAGAGAGCTAATAGTACAAACACATCAAAAATGAATGACTATGTTACCTTCAAATAATGCACTCACATTAATTAGATACGTACGTGGCATTCTCTTGTTGGTTCCCCATAAAAAGAGGATAAGATATTGCTCAATGTCTTTTTGAAATTAGGTGAAATGTGTTATGTAAAATTATTTACAAATATCGTAATTTATTGAGATATTTTAATGTTGATTTATTGGGATTAATGGAGAGAAATAATTTATGGTGGATGTAAACGTTGGTAAAAAAATATAATTAAGAGATACGAATGTTGGAAACTTCGAAAAATAATTGAATTATGATTTTTAAGAACTTGAAGAGCGTAGTCACGGCTATAGATAATGAAAACTATGAATTAAGAATAAAAAGTATTTATAAGACAACTTACACTCCAATAAGAAGACTTCCATCCTTGATTTAATTCTCAATTTTAGGATAACTCTCTTTAATTTAAGTAAAGTACACCATTGAAATAACTATCTACACCATTAAAACAATCGGAAGCAATATATCTTCAACATCATTCTACATGATAATTATTTATTCATTATATTTTTCTATTTGAGATTTAGAGATGTATACGATATACAAGTTTAATTCAATATGATCTCCTCTTTCATTGACTTTACTTTTAATCAAAATTACTGAGAAGATAAAATTAAATTGTACAATCGTATGAATTTTCTTACATCACTAGAAATATGATCAAATGTTTCTCCCAAAGTATGTATATTAGTTTTGAACTTGAAAAAATGATATACCATTTCTGCAATTTTTGATGAATGAGTTTCTTCACCTTAGTGTTTAAAATATTAAAATAAATAGGAAAAAAATGAAAAAGAAAAAGAAATCGACTAGTGCCATTGACAATAGGCTTTGATAGTGTAAAATAGAGTTACACTGACAGAGTATATTACTTAATCTCTTTATTTTAATATAGATATTTTTTTTGTCTAAAACTAGTTAGTTAATGTAAATTATTTTACATTATTTTATCCTAATCTTTCAAAGATAAGGAGACAAGAAAAAAAAAAGGGAAACCCCCCAATAGTATAATTTATAAGGAGAGAAAAACACAGGTACAAAGCTTAAAAAAGGAAGGAAAAGGCGAAGAAAAAGGAGAAGAAGAAAATACTAATCCTAATTCATTAAGTACTCTCACCTAAAATTAATTTCAAATTTCATAAAATTTTGTCTTATAATTTATTTTATTTTTAAAAATAGTTATGGCTTGTGAGCCATTTTATTTATCATGATGTAATAAACAAAGGTCTTAAACAAAAAAATTTACGAGAAAATGATCAAATGCCCCCTCAATCTATTGCCCGATTTTCAACTATACACCAATATTTTATAGGGTCTATTACCCCCTTGAAGTATTTTAAATGGAGATATTGACACCCTTAAATGGTGATGTGGCATAGCAAGTGTATTCACTTTCCTGTTGGCAAGTGGGAGACAAATAAGTAAGTCAAAATTAATTAATTTAATAACTGTCAATTCTTAATTAGATACTATAATAATTAATAAAGTTAATCAACTAAAATGCCACACACTGTCTCTCTCTCACATCTCTAACCCTCTCGTCTTTTACAAGTTAATATCTCTTCAACTTGGTCTGCTGCCATGGCAATTAATACAAGAAGAATTTTATATTTTCATACTTTCAGTTTTAATTCACAAAATACTTTTTCAGTAGCAATACCTTTAAAATATTTCCCTAATTTTAGACAGAACAATAAAAAATAAAAGAAAAAAGAACACTTCAATTTCTTCACCTCAAAGGAAAATATTTTTAGCTCGACCTCGAAAGATAAAATTGCAGCTTCCATTGGAGACATCCTTTGTTTATAATAGCAATCAAAGTTTCTTGATTGCAATTGAAAGTGGGTATTAGAATTTGAGATTTCTCAAGAAAAATTTCATCTTCACATTCATCGAGAAGTGCAATTGAGAACCAACGGAAAAAGAACTATACCGATGATAGCACATTTATCAAATTTAACAATAACAACCAAATTTGTGCAAATAGATGATTAGAAAGACATTAAAAAAAAGGGGGCAAAGGTTGGTGGGTATGGTGTGGTGTAGTGAAGAGGGCAAAGGGTTGATTGAAGGAGATGAGCTATGTGGGAACAATGAAGAAAAAAGAAGAAGAAGATTTAGGAAGAGGAAGAATGACGATGAGATTTGGCAATGGTAATTAGGGCAGGAATGGTGGAGAAAAACTGGAATGATTATTTTTCATTTTTTTTTACTCTGAAAATAAGCGCGTGTATAACACTGGGCAACAAAGATTTGGAGGTGACATTTTAAGAGTGTTAATATCTTAGTTTAAAATATTTCAGGGGGTAATAAGACCCCCCATAAAGTATTAGTGTGTAGTTGAGAATTGGGTAATAGATTAAGGGGTCATTTGGCCATTTTCTCAAAAAAGTACAAAAGGAAATTATAAAGACTAAATAGGTTAGCCCAAAAGTGACCAACCCACTAAATCAAAAAAATGAATAGAGAAAAACTTCTATAAATATAGATCACCAGTTCAGTTATTTCTTCTCTATTAGTCAACTCCATTATTAAAAAAATGGTGGAATGACCTGAGATACTTCTATACTTGGCTCCATTTATCAGTTGAATCCTCTTACTCATCATTTTGTCAACTGAACTCTTAAACTCATTAGAACACAACACTTTAAATCCCTCTGACCATTGACCGAACTTATGTGGCAATAATGTTGATGGATTGGAAAAGTATGTGATTACACGAGTTTAAACCAAGTAAAAATAATAGTTTATATTTAAAAAATCAATTTTTTTAAAAAGGGAAAGTTCTTCAACCATTTATGGAGGGTATCTGCATACAATTTACGATAGTTCGGAGTATATTTGTCTTTTTCTAAAATGTCCTTCAATTATTCAAATTGGTATAAACTATACTTCATCCACCTTTCGACTCCCAAATGCTCCCGACGTCAATTTTTTGGCTCTGAAATACCTTTATTTCTAATTGGCCCACACTCATGAGATGGATGAGAGGACAATATTATACCAAACCTCATAGTTTAAGGGTATTTTATGTCTTTCTAAGTTAAAATAATTTTAAATTACTTAATATATGGGCTCATAAGGGTATTTTATGCCTTTCATTTCAATTTTGAGTCTTCAATATCCTAATTAAGAATAAGAGATAAAAAATAAATAAGAATAAAAATAGGGAATGAACAAGACAATTAGTTATTAATAGAAAAAATTATATTAATAAAAAGAATAATGAACATTCAGATGCGGATTTTAGATGAATTTCTACTTATGAGTTGGGTTATAATAAATTTGTTATTGATTTAAAATAGGTTAATAGAAAGATATCATGAAATAAATAATTTTTTGAATATCATTTTCAAGCATATCGAGTCAAAAGATGAATTATATGTGATTTTTATTATTTATTTAATAAGGGTTTAAATTTGAATTAATCAGATTAGACAACTTAATAAATAAATATTTAATGATTTACTTTAGGCGAACTATTTAAGCTAAAAATATTAACATCAAAGATATCTAAATGTCAAAAGATGGCTGAAAGATAATTTTGTAGCCATTCGAATAGTTGAATGCCATTTTAGCCCTTCTCATTTGTTGGTGTCATATTGGTGTTTGCAACAAATTTTAGACATATGAAAAATAAATAAACTACACAAATAAAATTTGAAGAAACATAACTTTATTGATAAATATGCATGTACAATTCTGTTCCTCCCTTGATTCTACTCTCCTAAGATTTATCCATGATTCGAGGGCCGTTAGTGGCGTATTTCTCGAACTAGGATGATTTAGATTTAACCTCTATATGAATATTCCATGACTTTTGTGGAATATTCAAGATTTTGATCTTTAAAAATACCCAAGAGTTTATGGGATATTTTTGAGATGCATTTTAAGGGAATTTAGTACCCTTTATATAGGCATAAATTAGGGTTTAGGGTTAAGTAGCCTCCAAGAATTCTAATTGAAATTGAACACACCTTCTAGTGTCCCAATTCGAATTGAACACGTCTTGTAGAGTCCGCAAAATTTCAATGTCTACAAATGCCCCCTGCTTCAAAGCTTGTTGGAGTGTAGACTCGATGAAACTCAAAGACGAGGCTTGAAGTACTCATTCTTCCACCTTTGCAGCTTCAGATTTTCAGACTTGATTTATGAGACTAGAGATGAAGGGAATATTTGGTCCCATTGGGCGTGCCAATTTGTTTGTAACAAATTCTAAACATATGTAAAATAAATAAACCACACAAATAAAATATGAAGAAACATAACTTTATTGATAAATATGCAGGTACAATTCTGTTCCTCCCTTGATTCTACTCTCCCTAAGATTTATCCATGATTCGAGGGCCGTTAGTGGCGTATTTCTCGAACTAGGATGATTTAGATTTAACCTCTATATGAATATTCCATGACTTTTGTGGAATATTCAAGATCTTGATCTTTAAAAATACCCAAGAGTTTATGGGATATTTTGAGATGCCTTTTAAGGGAATTTAGTACCCTTTATATAGGCATAAACTAGGGTTTAGGGTTGAGTAGCCTCCAAGAATTCTAATTGAAACTGAACACACCTTCTAGTGTCCCAATTCTTCGAATTGAACACATCTTGTAGAGTCCGCAAAATTTCAATGTCTACAATTGGTAGGACCATATATTCCCCAATGTTTCTTTCACCTTTTTGGTAAATTTGTTTCTTCCTTTCTTTTACATTCAATTTTTAGTAAGTACTTTTTTTTTCTTCATATTAATATTAGGGTGTTTTTTTTTCTTATATTTTAAAATTATTTATTCTTGTGATATTTGTGAGGATCATATTTTTGTGGAGACTGTGTTCTTGACGGTGTAAGAGATCAGTGGCGAAGCTAGAAATTTTACGAAGGGTGTCCAAGTATTACA